TGTCATTGTAAGTATATACACATACAACGAAATTCACAGACACCCAGAGACCAGATACTTTTAGAGATAAACTTGACATAAATTTGTGAAGGTTACAGTAAAGTTGACCCAAGTCACCTTCTCTTGAGTAAAGTTACTTAATCTTGGGATTTTATGGTATTTTTTATATACATAGGTTCCACTTTTTCCATAATTTCTATAAGTGCTTTATTTATCTTTATCTGGCAAGAAGGATTCTCCTACAGAGTGTTGGGAATATCTTCCTATCTCTAGAAGGACTGCTCCATCCAGTTTCATACAGGACCTTGCAGTGCTTTTTAGACCGAAAGTGAGATTGGGAAAGTAAAAGTCACCTTCACTCCACCCCACCCCAAGTCCTTTCCCCACTATTCTGTGTAGCAGCAAAAGTCTGCCAGAGCCAAACCTATTTTATAGCTGTGAGACCTCCAATTCTAATCCCTACTTCGCAAAATACTTAATAAACTGTGACAAGCTCTTCATCAGATGAATTCCTCCCTCCTCTCTAAATCTATATTTTCTTTTGGCGGAGAAGGGTAGATTCAACTGATACTCAGACAATCCACATTTCAAATTTTTAGGTACACAGTCTGCAGAGTTCTTTTATGTTTCCTCCGCAGTATTGGTTTAAACGATATTGATGGCTTAGCTCAATATTGTGTAAGTGTGCAAGTTTTTGTCAGTCAGTTTTGCCAGAGGTTTTATTTAACAACACTGTCTTTTAATGTACATACTTCTGTGTATTAGGCTACTCCCACAGCATGCAGAACCTAGTACTTCATTTAGCTTTTATCCTAATTGTAAACATTATAGAATATTCTCCTGTTTGAAGCTGAATTGGTTGAGGTCATATTTAACTTGTAAATTGAGACTTAAAAATATATTACAGGCTAGAATTCTTTTGATGTTTATATAAGGTTTACATAATTTGCTGTGGCTGATTGATAAGGTGCTAACAGACAGGGTGCTGGGGCAGTTAACTGCAATTAGGTGCAGTGATTTTTGCCAGTCTTTTCATGAATTCCAGTAGGATTCTTGGCCACACTGTAGTAGAGGGAATTTCTCCTTTAAAGTATTAAAAGTGATTGTTATGTATCCTGGATTAAATTGAAAAGGAAACTGGATTTTCCTGTGGACTCTAGTCCATGACTATATCTTTGATTATACATTTTTGTGGTAAAATAAGAAACAATCCTTTTGGTTTTATTTTCTTTTTTTCTTCTGCAAGAGACCAACGTGGTTCCCTCTTTAAAGTAAAGTGTGTGCAAATAACAATCTCGGGTTAATGGAAACAGAATAACATAGGATGAAATTAATTGCATAAATAATGTTTGTACATACTAAAAAAATTGGGGGGGTATATGCATTTATTCATATACCTAATTTAAAAATACAATGGTTTGATTAAAAACAAGTTGTGTTAATAGTATGTGTTTTATTATAAATGTTTATTTCTCATGACTTCATTAAAGTAAACCTAGCAACACTGATATTGAATATGTATCTAGGAGTCACTTGCTGAAGTTGAAGAAAAGTATAAGAAAGCAATGGTTTCTAATGCCCAGCTGGATAATGAGAAGAACAATTTGATCTATCAAGTGGATACCCTGAAGGATGTAATTGAGGAAAGAGAAGAGCAGCTAGCAGAATACTACAGAGAAAATGAAGAAAAGACTAAGGTATTTTTATTTGAAGCTGATGATACTGTTGATGAGGATGATGGAGAAGGTGTGCTGTTACTTGTGTATAACATATCTATAGGTATTTAGTTCTTCCTGCCACCAGTTTTAAATACTTTCAGACAACATAGCATATTTTAATGAAGATAATAAAAAACTTTCCTTTATGTTGGCTCATCAGTGTAAAAATGTATCATTTTCAGAACTACCTCAGAATTGCTTCATTTTCCCCTTGGAACTTAGGCCAAGTTTCTTTTAAATTCAGCATTTGCAGACCTACATGGTGGTTTATACACTCATCTATCCAAGTCTTTGCCTGGGTCATCTCAGATTAGTTACTTTTCTCACTTTTAACTATTATCAGTCTTTTGTCTTTTTACCACACAATAATTGAATAATGTTTTTTGAAATCAGCTAATATTCTCTAGAAGGCATTAGCTGGACATTGGAGAAAGCCACAAGCTCCTTGTTTCTAACTTAAAAGTGGCAGTTCATATATCTTAGTGGAGCCATTTTCAGATGGCTGTACAGTGGAATCTCTACTTACAAACTAAATTCGTCTCAGAAGATGTTCGTTAGTTGAAATGTTCATAAGTAGAAGCAAATTTCCCATAGGAATGCACTGAATCTGTTCCAGCTGTTTTTGGTTCTTATGTAGAGGCGCCGTTAAAGTTAAAGCATTAGTTCCCATAGGAACTAATGCAAAACAGGTTAATCTGTCCTCTACCACTAAGGGGAGAATTTTTCTTCTTTTGACCTAAGATGAACTTATGTCAAAAATGGCAGGAAAGGAAGGAAGGGGGAAAGGAACACCTTTAAAAACAAGCACCTTTTAAACAAAACCAAGCACCTTTTAGGTTAAAAAAAAGGGTAGGAGAACACCTTTCAAACATAACACATTTAAAAAAGCCACAGAATCCAGCAAGCATTATTCCAACACAGAACTCCTCATCTCAAAAAGAGAGTCTAAACTGCATTTTGCAGTTTGCCTGCATCAGCAGCCAGCACAGCCCCTCACAGAATATTTTCTGATTTTTAAGAAAAAAAGACTGTGGAATCTAAACAAGAGGAGGCGTACAGACTTGAATCTAAATGCCATTTTAAAGCCTGCTTGCACCAACAATCAGCAACCATTATTCCAGCACAGAACTCATCACAAAAACAGAGCATGTGGGGGGGGGGAAGAGACTTGAATTTAAACTCCGTTTTAAAACCTGCTTGCATCAACAATCAGCAACCATTATTCTAGCACAGAACTCCACATCACAAAAAGAGAGCATGGGGGGGGGGAAGAGAGAGAGTCTTGAGTCTAAACTCCATTTTAAAGCCTAACTGCCTGCATCTACAACCAACACAGCCCCTCACAGAATATTTTCTGATTTTAAAAGACTTTAGAGCGACATTTTAACCGCACACATTTTAAAACTAAAATCTACACTGCAGGACCCATGAGAGCACAGAAACATAACCCCCCCAACTAGCCCTACCCCCCCCAGCTGCAAAAAAACAACATAACCCCCCAACTAGCCCTACCCCCCAGCTGCAAAAAAACAGTACAGTATAGTAAATACAGTGTACTCACCCAGAACAGGCAGTCAAAAATCCAAAAATCCAAAATTAAAAAAAGCCAAAGAAAATACAGTCTGTACAGTACAGTACAGTATCAGACAGTACCAGGCATTCTGAAGTCTCTCTCTGTACCCACACTCTCTAACCGCTTCAAATTTTGCATTTTCCTTGCCTCCCCCGCATTTTTTTTCTGTTCGTATGTTGAAGCTCCCTTTGCAAGTAGAAGCAATATGTTGCGAACAGAGCCGTTTGTAAGTTGAAATGTTCATATTTAGGGACGTTCGTAAGTAGAAGTTCCACTGTACTTTGCTGTTTTGCTTTTTTCAAAGATACGCCCAAATATCTTTACAAAGTGACATGCAAGCCCTTTTTATTTTATCAGGGAATTTTAAAGAAAAGAGGGGAATAGAACTTAAACTGAGAATTGCCTTTTAGCCACTGGCCAGTTTCTGGCAGTCTTCTGATCTCTAGGGACCTTCCATGATGTAGACATGAGCTGCATTTTGACAATGCACTGCTTTCCTTTGTTTTGTATAAAAGGAAACAAAACATAAAAGTCTGCTTGGTTCTGTGGATAGAGGTGTGAGCTTTTTATGTTTGTCATATTTTTCTGTGAACTAAAATTTAGAGGGCTAATGAGTCCTGTGGTCCCAGAATAGTTTTTTTCAAAAGGAAAAAAAAACTGGGCAGCAAAACCAAAATTCTTCGTGATGTCCATATATGCACACAAATGAGGTTTGTGTCTGCACAAATGCTGGTTCGGAAAGTTCCAGAGCCTCAAAAGTGAAAGTGTCTTTGCCTCTACTGTATAAGCACAGCCCTGCTCTCCTCCATGCCCCCCTCCTTTCCCCTTTCCCTCATTTATGGCCTTCCCTTATGAAAAAGTGCCAAATGAACAAAAAAGAAACAAATGGTCGATACCAAGCTCCTCATTGCTCCCTCAGACTCCCAACTGCCTGTGCGAGAGCCAACCTCTGCTATTACTACCGACACCTAATATACAGTTTTGATCTCGGAAGGTGAATATTGTAGCCCTTCTGTGCAGAGGGTTCCTATGTCTTCGAAAGCTCCCACTACCCGGATTTCTCTGGGAGAGTCATTACTTCCTCCTTGTGCGTCTGAGGATGTATGACCGTATTTTTCCACATATAAGACAACACTTTTAACTGAAACCTTTAGACTAAAAATTGAGGGTCATCTTATACACGGAAGTAGGGGAAGGGATCAAAGTGCTGCAGTATCGCAGCTCTTTGATCCTTCAGTCCTTTGATCGCTGCTTTCCCTGCCACTTCTTAAGCCCTTCAGGGTTTATGAGGTGGCAGGGAAAGCAGCCAGGAAAGGGGTGCAGGTTCAAAGGGCTGTGATCCTGCAGCCTTTTCATTGCTGGTTTCCCCCTCCACTTCCGCAGCCCTTTGATCCTGCTTTTGTGGGGCTTAGGAAGTGGAGGGGGAAAGCAGCCATCAAATTTTCTAATTTGGGGTTAGAAAAATGGGCATTGTCTTATACATTGGGTTGCCTTATACACGGAAAAATACGATAGGTCAGGGTTCCTTCCCCGATCCAACCATCGCCCGAGTCTCAACATCATGGTCGAACCCAGCAGAGTTTGTGATTGTACTCAGCTACACAATCTCTGTCACACCATCCACATCTTTGCTACTTGAGATTTCCTTCAGTGGACTCTCGATATCAAGGTGACCCATATTATGCTCCCTTTTTCTACCCTTCCTGGTTCCTATACGGGAAAAGGGACTGGCCATCACTACACCATTGGAGTCATTACTGATCTTGAGATTGGACCAGGGGCCATGGCCAGACCAGGATCCACTCTCGAGACACCTATGACTATAGCCCCAGGAGGTGTTCATCTTGATATTGTAACTGTTAAGGAAATGCCTATAGCCATCAGCAACTTCAAAACTGCTCTCAGTCTGAGTTCCTTCACCGATGTTTGACACTTGTCCTCATTGAGCTATTGAAGCCCAGTCACCACAGGGCCATCATCTTCCAGCCTCCATGCATGCCTTGGCCATCCGACCTGCATCACCATGAGTGTTCTTGCTACCTCCTAACACTGACTTTCTTCTTCACCAACAACAACTCTAGATAACACTGTCTGTTCCGACAAGAGATAAACATTCTTATGACAGATCCTCCAGTTTTGAACCAGGTGATGACAACTAATGCATCATCCTTCCAGGCCTGTCGTCCAACCCAGATGTGCAGGAACATCACCTCAGATGCCTGGGTACTCAACATCATTACCTATGATGTGATAAGAATTTTCTATGCTCCTGACCACCAGATGTGTACTTCGTACTGCACCTACTTCCATACTCTTAGAAGAAGTTCAAACCTTGCTGGCAAAAGGAGCTATCATCACCTTTCAGATGGCTTCTTCTCCTGGTACTTTACTGTGCCCAAGAGAGATGGCTATGGCCTTATATTGGACCTCTATGCTGTAAAGAACTTCATTGTTCTGAAGCACTTCTGGATGGCAATGCTCGTCAAACCCCACCCCCCACTTTAGCAGGGAGATTGGTATGCGTCCATAGACCTACAAGTTGCGTACTTTCAGTTCACCCACAACATTGTCGTTTCCTCAGCTTCATCATTGGCCACCAGGGTTACCACTTCTGTGTACTCCCTTTTGGCCCTCAAGAGACCCAAGAAATGTTTGGTGCTGGTGGCTGCCTTTCTCAGAGCACGGGGCATCTCTGTTTTCCCTTATATAGATGATTGGCTTCTGGTGGCACACAACAGGGCAATATTACAAGCCAACATTCACTTCACTCTTCACCTTTTGTTGAGTCTTGGGCTTCATGTCAATGTAGACAAATCACAGTTTGTCCATACCCAATCTATTCATTATACATTGGGGGAAACCTTAACACAAACTGAGCATGGGCCTTTCTCCCTCAACCAAGATTGGACAATATCATACACTTCACTTAAAAACTCAGCCAAGCCCAAAACATAACATCTTGCTCCATACAGCGCTTCTTAGGGCACATGGCATCCACAACAGCTGTCTCATCTCATGACAGGCTCAGACTGGGACCACTCCAATTCTTCTATCTCTTAGCCTACAATGACAAAATTGCTTCACAAAAAGCTCTTTTCCCAAGGCTCAAGCATCATCTCCAGTGGTGGACAGTCAAGGCCCACTTGCAAGTCAGGATGCCCTTCTGCCGGGAAAATCTATCCCATCTCATAATTACAGACACAAGCATGACAGGATGGGGTGAACACTGCCTTCACAGAACAGCACATGCTCAGTGGTCACCATATGAGAGAAATGACCACATCAACTTCCTCAAACTCCTTGCAATTTTCAAAGCCCTTCAGGCATTCAGCAATATGGTCTGTAGCTCCATGGTCCAAATTGCAATGGGAAATACCATGGTGATGTTTTACATCAACAAACAATGCGGCACCACTTCCCCAGGTCTCCTGCCCATCACATAATCCCAATAGCAACTCCCTTCCAGTTAATTCCTGTCCTCTTTCCTTTTTTCCCCTCTTTATTTGATTTATTTTTATTTTTCCCATCTTATAGAATCATTTAATTAATTAATTGTTATACATTTTTTAAAAACTTGTTATCCTTATGTTGTAAGCCGCCTAGAGTGGTCGAAATGACTAGATAGGCGGGGTATAAATACAATAAGTAAATTAATAAATAAATAAAAATGTTCCTGGCATGGACAAGACAACAGATTACCTCAGCTGAACAATGACTCAGACACATGAGTGGCAACTATCCCATGTCGTTTACAACCAGCTCGTTCATTGCTGGGGCATTCCCTCAGTGGACATTTTCACCACTGCCAACAACTCCAAATGTGTGAACTATTGCTCCTGCACAGGCAAAGGCAGACATTCTCTGAGTGATACATTCACCACTGACTGGACCAAAGGCCTATTGTACATGCTCCTTCCCTTTCCATTCATCCCGCACACACTTGTGAGAATCCTTCATGACAACTCCAATGTCATCCTCATCATTCCTTGGTGCTTCTTCCAACAGTGGTTCACAACCTGCTCCAGCGCCGTGACCTTTTTCAGCATGGGGGAACAGTACTCCATCCAAACATTCCTCACCTGAAGCTCACAGCCTGGAAGATATCTCTTTCCTTGCCAACATCCTGAAGCAGGCCAGGCATCCTCCCACAAATTGCCTCTATGGCTGCAAATGGAAAAAGTATCCTCCCATTGCCTGCCAACCTCCCCAGCCTCTCTATTGTCCTGGCCTTTCTCCTGGACCTTAAGCAACAGGGCCTTTCTGTCTCTTCCCTAAGGGCCTGCCTTGTGACTGTTGTAGCACACCAGCCTGCTGGCCACTCCTCCACCTGCCTCTTCACCCATCCAATGATCAACTTCTTAAAAGGTCTTCAAAATGCCTACCATTATGTGAAGCCTCCACAAGACCCTTGGTCGCTTCCCTTCGTCTTGCCTCAGCTTATCAGACACTCTTTTGAACCACTAGCAATTATTGACATTCATCTACTGACTCTCAAGACAGCTCTTTGAGTAGCTCTCACATCTGCACGCTGAGCAGCTGAACTTAAAGTCTTTTGCTATGACGCTTCTTGCCTTGTTTTCTCCTATGACAGTTACCCTTCATATGTACATTTCTTTTCTACTCAGAATGACTTCCCATTTTCATATGTCACAACTAATAGTTCTACCTACCTTTTATCCTTCACAGCAACATGGCTTCAAACAAGTGATCCACTCTCTGGACATTAGGAGAGTGTTGGCCTTCTACCTGCACAGAACAAAGGACTTCAAACAAACAAATATACTTTTTTTCTCCTACTAGGGTCCCAAAAATGGACACCCGCTCTCCTTTCAATGCTTCTCAAAACGGATCACCATGGTTATTTCTCTTGCTTATGAAGTGGCCAACAAGCCACTTCCTCCAACTCCCTGTGGCTATGCCACCAGAGACATCACCACTTCTTCTGCTTTCCTATGGGGCATTGACATACAAGACATCTGTCAAGCTGCCACATGATCACAGCCTTTCACCTCTGTCACCCTTTAAATAGATTAGACCGTAGAGCCCAGAGAGATGGTTCTTTTGGCAGAGCTGTTCTATCTTCTATTCTGGCTTAATTCCCACCTCCAAACATCAGCTTGCCAGTCTCCCCATTTGTTTGCATACATGGACACCACAAAGAAGAAGTCACCGTAACTATGGTTCTTTGAGTGGTAATCCATGTATCCACACAATCTGCCAACCTCCCCTCTTGTTTCGCCCTCTGTCTTGCAGAGGACAACTGGGACTTAGGAGAGTGGAGCTGTACTTGCACAGGAGAGGCAAAGATGCTTTCCCTTTTGAGACTCTGGAACTTTCCAAACCAGTGTTTGCGCAGGCGCAAACCCCATTCGTGTGGATACATTGATCACTAATTGAAGAACCATAGTTATGATGCATAACTACATCTAATATACATCTAAACCAGTTTTATTTTGCTGAAAGTATCTAATGGGCACTAATTGATAGGCAGGTAGTATATTTTTTACCTATCACATTTTTAATCTGATGTACTTAATGTTATATTTAAAGTTAAGTTTGATTTACGTCATTGATGTTTGCTTAATGCAGGAGTTGGAAAGACAGAAGCATATGTGTGGTGTTCTGCAACACAAGGTGGATGAACTTAAGGAGGGCATTCGCCAAAGAGATGAACTAATAGAGGTATGTGTTCATGCTTGTCTGATTGCTAAATGCTCATACAAATATTCATAATGTATTCCCACATAACAGGTACAACACTCATTTTGGTCTCTATTAAGAGCAAAAGTATTCATTCCCCTATCTTTTGGTGTGTTTTTTTAAACTTACACACTGGAAAGAAAAATCACTAAAATGTTTTTCATCCGCACAGCAGGTTGTATGTAGAGAGCTTTTAATGTGAACTTTTCATCAGGCAATTCCAGTCTTCTGTATCATCCTTAGAAAGATTGCAAGTGTGTACTATTTCTGGGCATTTGGGTCACTTGTTCAGTGAGTGCCAGAGGTGAAACATGATATTAGTGTGATGTGATCCCAAGTGATAACAATATAAAACAAAAAGCAACGTATTGCATTAGCCTTCTTTCACAGTGAAAAGTCTGATGCTTTTCGATGATCTCTATCTAATAAGTCTTTCAAATTCTAACCATATGGCTTAATGATGCCTTAATCATCATCCTTATTTTTCTAAACATTTTTATTATTAATTTGGTAATGTATATGGTGGTAAAATGGGTTAGTGTTTTTTTCAAAAGCACTTTCAGTGCTAGGTTAAGTAATGTTAATGACAGTGCCAGCAGTGTTTCAAAACAAAGTCAAAACATAAATATATGGTACAACGTGGAGATCCAAGATAATCAGTTACCATTTTATAATTCGCTTGAGTATTAATCTTACCCTGGCTGTTTAGGTTTATTTTTTAGGAAAATTAATGATTCTCTTATCCATAAGCCTTTGTTTTTCAATCCTTCATCTTTTATGCTTCATTGACTTCCTTCCTTCTTTCCCTCCTGTCTTCATGTAATTTCTTTTGCTTGTCTTTCCTTTTCTTTTGTTCTTTTCCCTGTGTTTACTGCAGGAGAACCATCGCATGCAGCAGAAAATAGAATCTATAACCAAAGAGGTGTTTGACCTTCAGGAAACAGTTAATTGGAAAGATAAAAAAATTGGGGTATGAGTTAAAATCTGAGGTGAAAATGATTGGGATTAGACTATCCTAACACACATTTAGGATTGTGTATAGTCTGTGTTAAACAGAGTGTGGTAGAGAGAAATTGTGCTAATCTATATTTCAGCAAATCAATTCCTTGACTTTTTCGTGTTAAATATTAGAAAGTGAGTAAATAGCACATGCAACATGAGCCTGAAACTCCATATATCAATACTTTTAATAACCAAAATACAAGCATACAAGATATAGTTCTCGTGTTACAGGTAAATACTAGTATAGATTTCTTTGGTTTGGGAGCTAGTTTTGTTCAACACATTTTATTGCGTTGGTTAAAATAAAAAGATTTTTAGGGGAACGTTTCATTTTCTATGAGTAGATTTGGTTCTTTTCTCAAAAGAAATTTACCTTCTATACCTTTAATCATTCAGACAAGATATACAATTGATATAATAAAGTATATTGCATCTCTTTATTCAGAGGACGCAAATTACAGCCCATTGAATTTAGTTGGACTACTTATTTGTAACTAAATTCACATTGGTTTTGATAAAGTGATAAAGTACTTTCATGTGGATCAGTCTTACAGAGGGGCATGAGTGATGAACACAGATTGTGGGATAGCTTCCCCATCCCACTTCTGGCATTGGCATATAGTATTGAGTGTCTAAAGGAGAAAGTCTACATGCAGAAGTTTTCCTCTGCAAACGTTGCCATCTTTCTCCTCATAGTACTGGCCACTTACTGAACAACCTCCTGTGTAGACACGAGGTGGGAGGTAATCTTAGGCTAGCATTATATTTCTCAAAATATCACAACATGTTAAGAATATAGAACTTAATCTGCAAAGTAATAGAAAAAATAGAACTTGCTATGGAGATTAGTTTTCTGATGGGATTGTTCACAAAAAGAGATTGGAATCAAGAGATCTTTCTGATGGGATTGTTCACAAAAAGAGACTGGAATCAAGAGATCTCACAGATATGCAGTCCTGTCATTAGGTAGAGGTGCGTTCGTACATTGAAGCATTAGTTCTCATAGGAACTAATGCAAAGCTGGTTAATACGTACTCTACCACTAGGGGGAGAATTTTTTTTAACCTAAGATGACCTAAGGTTAAAAAAAGAGCAGGAAAGGTTTTTTTTCCTGTTCTTATCTTGGATTTCTGTTCTCATGTAGAAGCAAAATTTAGCAAATGGAGCTGTTCTTAAGTTGGATTGTTCTTAAGTAGGGACGTTCTTAAGTAGAGACCCCACTGTATGCAGTCCTGTCATTATTAAACCTTGGCATTGACCTTTCAGGATTAGATACATATTCAAGGAACTTCAAAAATGTCTTACATAGCCATTTACTTAACCTGTGTTTAGGATAGAGGGAATGTGCAATTTGAAGGTATGCCTCCTGTAAGGGAGCAATTAATTTCTGAATATGGTCTGACATACATCACCTGATATAGTAAAAAAGATGCCCAGCTGTTGTCTTCAAAGAATATGCTCTTCGTTTTCTGTAGAAACTGGAACTCAGAAGCTCTGTTCAAGAATTTAGTCTGAAAGTGTGTAGGACTGGAAGATTGTGATAGTATGAATAAATGAGTAACTTTATTGTGGTATAAAACCATAGGAATACATCTAGCACAGTTACAGGATAATACCCTGGTAACATTAGTGAATATCTATAGAGAATTCAACATTCAGAGTTTAAAATTGAATATAAAATTTGAACTTTCTAATTAACCCATCTTCTTAGTATGAAATTTAATCAAATAAATAAAGTTTATCTATTTGTTTAAGATAAATCTCTCCCTGTGTGGGTGATGAAAAGGGCAATGGAAAACCTATGTACCATCAATTCCACCTCCCCTTGGGAGCATGGACAGTGTCAGTCCTTATAGGTGATCTTCCTATATATTTCCGTATATGTACCATATAAGAGCTGAGATAAGATTTTATATTGATACAGCTTCAGTGTTGCCTGGACGAAAAGACTTCCCCTAGTTTGGAAAAACCTCACAGTAGAATTAGCAGCATGCTCAGCTTTCTCTGCCATCTCAGTGAGCACAGCACTATTTGCCCTTGACTCTTGCAAGGTCACCCCTAAGTAGATAAATTTGCTCACTTGTTCAACTTTCCTCCCTTTTATTAACCAGGGTCTCTTTTTAGGGTGTTTGCCAAAGGCCATGACTTTTATTTTATCACAGTTAATTATCAGATGTTCTTTATCGCAGTATGCTGCAAAGCTATCTAGGGGCCTTTGGCGTCCTACTGGAGTCCTGTAGAACTGTGTCATCTGCATAAATCAATATAATCAGATGGCTTGAGGCAAGCTTCAGGTCATATGCTTCAGCGTATCGCTTATATAATAAATGAATAGCATAGAGACCAAGAGACATCCTTGTCTGACTCCCTTGAAAGTTTTAATTGGTTTAGTTCAAATACCTTGCGAGTTACATCTCACTCTAAGATAGGTTTCCTGGATAGTGATAGTATGGGGCCACAGGCTAGCTTCACCTTTATGTCCCCACCAAATTCAGTTTTGCACCTGGAAAAAGCACTTTTGCACAAACAAACAAACAAACAAACACACACAGCAGGATAAATCTCTCCCTTGTCTTCTCTTCAGTGTTGCCTTCAGACTTCCCCTAGTTTGGAAAAACCTCACAGTAGAATTAGCAGCATGCTCAGCTTTCTCTGCCATCTGAATTCAGTGAGCACTATTTGCCCTTGACTCTTGCAAGGTCACCCCTAAGTAGATAAATTTGCTCACTTGTTCAACTTTCCTCCCTTTTATTAACCAGGGTCTCTTTTTAGGGTGTTTGCCAAAGGCCATCACTTTTATTTTATCACAGTTAATTATCAGATGTTCTTTATCGCAGTATGCTGCAAAGCTATCTAGGGGCCTTTGGCGTCCTACTGGAGTCCTGGACAGTAGAACTGTGTCATCTGCATAAATCAATATAATCAGATGGCTTGAGGCAAGCTTCAGGTCATATGCTTCAGCGTATCGCTTATATAATAAATGAATAGCATAGAGACCAAGAGACATCCTTGTCTGACTCCCTTGAAAGTTTTAATTGGTTTAGTTCAAATACCTTGCGAGTTACATCTCACTCTAAGATAGGTTTCCTGGATAGTGATAGTATGGGGCCACAGGCTAGCTTCACCTTTATGTCCCCACCAAATTCAGTTTTGCACCTGGAAAAAGCACTTTTGCAAAAACATGACAAAAATCTAGTTGAATGCACGTAACTGTGCTTTTGAAGACTTTTATGTTGAACACATGAAAGTCTGCAAGACTTCTATGTGGGATAGGAATAAGAAGGATGGAGATTTCATTCATGCTCCCCTCCTTACCACCCTTTGAACCCATATAAGCTTTCAAGGTGAATGCTGTAATTGGGCTGTAATGTAATTGATGTGATATGAATTTGTAGTTGGAAAGTCCTAAAGCTTTCTTTCTTTCATTTCTGAAAAGCCCACAGAATCTTCCTAGCACAGTGGACTCTGTGGCCTAACTAACAGTGTGTATAGTAATGCAATGGACTGCATTAATAGTTTAGAAAGTTATTTAATAAATCAGCAAAATTAAAACAAAAGTATTGTGGCATCACCAAGACTTACAAATTTATTTCAATGTGAAGGTTTATGGATTACAGACTACTTCTTGGAAAAGTAGAGTGTAATCCATGAAATACCATTATCTTCCTGCTCTGCAGTTCTAAGATGTTGATGATTAAATAAATACATTAGTTTTAAAAGCACTACACTTTTTGTTTTTGTTTTGGCTGAAACAGACCTAATACAGCCACGTATTTGAAAACTTGCTTAACATATTGGCGAAGCAGTATTGCTTAATGATAATTTGTCAGGCAAAAACAAAACAAAATTGAAAAAATAAAGACAAAAACATTGTGGCACCTTTTAATGTGAGTTTTAGTGGTCAAGCCTGCTTCTTCAGACCTGTCCATGAAAGCTGATATTGAAATATAGCAGTTAGTATTTAGGGTGCCACACACACTTTTGCCTTTTTTTAAAAAATTGTTTTGTTTTTGTTTTTGCCTAATATGCTAGCATAGAATTACATGGCTACCTCTTTTAAAACTGCACTTAATGTTTGTTGTAACTGTTGTAATTCGTTTTAACTGAAGAACATTTGTAGCACATATAAACTTCAGTGGTGAACACAGGACTGTATAAAGCTTTATTTTCTCCTCTTTTGCTTTACTTTTTATTTGCCTGGTTATCTTTTATTTGCAACAAATCTCTCTTACCTATCACACATTCTTTCTCTGTGCCGTTTTCTTTGTGGTGCCTGCCTGTGCCTGTACCCAGGCCCTAGAGAGACAAAAAGAGTACTTTGACTGCATTAGGATTGAACGAGATGAGCTCAGAGATGAGCTGGCTGACCTCAAGGAGACAAGAAAGACAGGAGAGGTACGTTAGTAGCAGCATCATATGAAAACGGAGTATCATAGCTTTGATGTACCCTTTTCTGCTAAACCATGCAAAGGATCAATGGTGTAGATATTTCTTATTGTATCTGTTAAGTATAATCAAGCTCTATCTTTGATACTGTTAATCTTTTGCCTCTCAGAAACATGGATTAGTTATAATCCCAGATGGCACTCCAAATGGTGATGTCAGCCATGAACCAGTGGTTGGTGCAATAACAGTGGTGTCACAAGAAGCTGCTCAGGTCTTAGAATCAGCAGGGGAAGGCCCACTAGGTAAACATTTAAAGAAAACATTTTCCTTAAAAATGTGATTGAATTTGGGTTTTGATATGTTCAAATGAAAATTAGTAATCTAAAGGCCCATTCAGATACTGATCTTTACTCTGAGTGGACCTTTTTTGTGTGACTAACTTCTGAATCTTTGCAGAGATTAAAAATAAGTATATATAATTAAGCTTGATGTTAAAAATCACGAATCCTGTCGAAGTTATATTTTAAAATATAAAAGTGAGTTAAAATACATTTTTAAGAAGCAGAAATCTATAGTAAAGGTCAAATGACACATTATAGATAACCAAATATTTGATTAGCAACTCTCCTTAGTGTTGTGAAATTGTCACAGGTGGATGTTTTCACTCCTCCCATAGGTTGCAAATTAGTTTTTGTCTTGTGAACAGTTGGCAGTCATGTTGATATGCATGGTTGCTTTAACATGGAAGTCTCTGATCACTAATGTGATTTTAGCTTCTGATCACATGCTATTTGTAATGCGTAGTTTATCCCTCTATTGACAATGGCAACTGACTAACTGTTGTAGCACTATAGTCATTATTTAAAAAAGAGGCCTGGTGGAATAACTAATAATTATCCTACCAACAGCAAAAAATGATCTTTGGAAGAAGATCTTGCTGATGTTTTGTTATAGTGTGCTTGATACTCTTCATCCACAAAGTTAGTAATTGAATTTCAAGTAAACATTCTTAGTATCACTCCTAAATCATAATTTTCTAGCCCTTCCTATTCTCTGTGATCTGAAATGGCTGATTTTTTTTCTGTGTGAGAATAACCACTTGAGATTTCTAATGAAATGTCATCATTCTACAAATGTGTTTTATTTTATGGGCAAAAAAATGAACTTCTGACACAAGAAATTGGATTTTCATTTTCTGACTGCTTTGTTTGTTTCATAGATATTAGGCTACGAAAATTGGCAGGAGAGAAGGAAGACTTACTGTCTCAGGTAGAACGCTCTCCTAAATAGTTTCTAAGTGATACTGAAGTAAATGAGTTGCCTATACTGGGACTCTTCCCAGATTTTTAAAATTAAAGTAGTGAACTGGGGAAGTTAGCATGACCTACTAATGGTAACCAAGAGTGCTTTGCCCTCTGGTCTACTGAGTAACTTTGCTATATTAAATTATTTACTGCTTTTTACAGTCCTAGTATTGCTATACTTCATTAAGAGATATTCACTTTGCTTCACATTGGGAAGAATGTACAGTATAAGCAACATAAAGAGGAAGTCTTTTTGAGTATGATGAACATTGTGAATCCTGAAGTCAGAAACCCAGATTAAGAAGCTGTACACTAAAGAAAAGATGCAGACTTAAACTGTTTGAAAAATGAAGTATTTGGGCATTTATAAATACTGTTACTTTGGATTCACTTCTATTAGAAAGCAATCAAGTCATAATAAAACTAATCATGTCAAATGGGCACAACATAAGAGACAGGTCTCTGTAAAGATTGTTTGGTTTGGTTTCTAACACTTGCTTCAAACGAAGAAATTGGTGGGAACCACCAGGTTGTGTGCAGTTACTTAACTTTGAAAATGGTTATTGTAGACTGCTAGTCGTGGTGGTAGCTGAATGATCAGAGAAAGCAATACTGTTGTAAATAGCAATAGTATGTTTACTCAAGTATGTCTGGGCAGTAGTGGGCTTCTCTCAAAATCTTATTTTGCATGATTATTTTATATTTCAGATTAAAAAACTAAAACTCCAGTTGGAAGAGGAACGACAGAAATCCTCTAGAAATGATGGCATGGGTACTGATTTAATAGGACTAGAAAATGGTTCTGACTTGCAGTTCATTGAAATGCAAAGTATGTTTCTTTTCAGTATGATATTGTTCAGATGCTGCTTGGTGTTAAACAAAATTCAGAAGTTGAGGCCAACTAGTTGAGTTTCTGTGTATTTCAATAGCTTTAGGTCAGTGCTGTGTCACACATAAAATTTAGTTTATGGGATTATAGAGAAAATAGGTAGTAAGGTAGAAATCATGCACACAATCATTTTACTGTGTGCTAGGTGTTCAGTTAAATTAACTCTAGTTATTTGGATTTGAAGTTTGGATTTGGCATTATAAAACAATTTCCTTTGGAAACCTCCATTTGAAAACTTCTATTATCATTTAATTTTAGTGGAAATTCCTTTACCCCTGAATCTAATCAGCACAAATGAGATAGGGCTCAAAGAGTGGCACAGCAGGAATAAATGTACTGTATCCAGAAAGCTACACTAAAATTTAAGAAACTTGTTTTCTTTTTCTCAACAGATGAAAGATTTTTTAAAAGTCACTCCTTTTGAAAATAACTTATTTTAAAACACTGAATTATATACACTTTTCTGAACGTGCCCATCTCTGACTAACCATACAAAAATCAGGGCTTTTTGTTGGTGGTTTAATAAACATATTATTTTATTAAGAAGTTATCAAATTATTCTTGATCACTAAACTACTAGTAGCGCTTAATTCTTCAACTTTTCATCATTTAAGAAAAATATATCTGCAGGAAACACCTTTCTTGGTTTGCTATGAAAAGGGAACCAACAATGGCTGAAAACGTATTGTCATACATTGCAGGGCAAAAGGCTAATGATGTCAGCAGCTGTAGTAGTTTTTCAGAGATAAAACATTTATTTCTCTCCCTGAAGGTTCTGAGGCTCCCTTTGAATCATTTTCATTCTTAGGAAGTTGTTGGGGGCCCTGGAAGGAGAAAGGCTTTACCTAAAATTACTGCTGACAGGATGATTTCATCTTGGTGGTGGGGACTGAAAATTTTCATTTTTGAAAAAAAGAAATCAAATCCAAACACCACTGCTGAGGCAATTAGCCTTATGCAGCATAACCTATGTAACAGGATTTCAGCCAGTGGGTCTGTTCACTCTATTTTCCTAAAATGGTTGGGATCACATGACCTAGATTTTACATTCACAGTTGGTGTCACTAGACTCTACCTTAGTTGTTTTTATTGCATGGATGGAAGACATTACTGTTCTTTCAGCAGCTGAACATGTAGCATAAGGATCTGCAGACTCAGCTATCAATTTTGGTGTCTGGGGCTTTGCTCCCTTATTAGTTAATCTTGGGTCATATAAGATTATCATATGTGGGGGGAAAATTGAAGAGTGGGGAGTACACCTGGCTCTGAGGGTACTATGATTATACTGATTCCATACTGAGCCCACATGTTTTACGTTTTCCTACCTGCTCAGGATGGGTTCATGTCTTTCCCGCAATGCATTTTTTTGCCCTCTCAATTTTGGGGCCCTGGCTTAAAGTCAAGGTAATGACTTTAAAATTCATTTGATGCTTCATTTTTTTTCCTACCTAGGAGATGCCAACAGACAAATTAGTGAATTCAAATTTAAACTTTCAAAAGCTGAACAAGATATAACTACTCTGGAACAAAATGTAGGTACCTTTAAGACTTCAGTTTCTGCACACACACATTTCTCAGACTGTTAATGATACCACATATGTGCATTATATTTCTTTGTAGTGCATTGCACAAACAGGTGCTTCAAACTATTATTTAAAGTATTATTTCTATTGCAGTACCACTGTATACATGCTTTTATTCCACAGTCAGGACAGTGAAACAACTGCCTCTTAATATGGATACCATCCTTGCAAGAAAAGCAGCAGTTAAAAAAATGAAGAACAACATTCTGTTTTAGATCACGTGAAGAGTGACAGGGTAGAATGCAGGTGCTGACTTTTAGTGCTAGGCATGGGCAGTGCCTCTTGCTGTCTAGTTAAGTGTACTGTTGGCATTGTGAGGTATTAGACCACTGCAGCAGATTGTTTCAACCAAATCTTTGCACTGTGGGTTCGTCATCACTTGCCCGGGGATGGAGGCTGCTGAAAGTAATAGTGCTCAAGTCCAGCTTTTTAAAGCTGATAAGTCACAGATAGCGTGGAGCCTCCTTAGATTTGCAGAGGTGAACAAATCACAGTTTGATATTTGTTATTTCAGGTAGTAAGACTTGAAGGGCAGGTGGTACGATATAAAACTGCTGCAGAGAATGCAGAAAAAATAGAAGATGAACTCAAAGCGGAGAAGAGAAAACTTCAGCGAGAGGTTGGTGGTTGCTTCTTTCCCCCTTTTTCAATCTGAACATATAAGAATTTCAGTTCAATATTTTCAGTTGCTATAATTAGGATTTGAGTTATTTTTATATCAGGTACTCAAAACCGTCTGGCAAATGTGACCAGGGCATACATGAGTCTTCCAGCTGGTTCTGTTCTTTTAAAATCTCTAAGGCGTGAGATACTGTGCAGGACTGGAGATTTCTTCTGCTTACTTGTCTGTATTAAGATGTTTATTTATGCTTCTCTTGTGGAAACGGCCAGGAAGTAGACTTCCGCAGACCTGGGATGGGAGTTAGCAATCCTAAGGCATTCTGCTGTGCCAGAAGGCTATTGTCAAACTGCAGGCATTCATACAAAATAAGGTTTTCTTCCACCAGTTTTCCATGAGATTTTATTACTACTTTATTTAAAACTTTGTGGATTGAACATTAACCATTTAAGATATGCTGGTGACACCATCTTACTGATGGAAAGCAGCTGACTTGAAGAGACTCCCAACGAAGATGAAAGAAGTGTCCAAAGTCGAGCATAAAGACTATAGAAAAACTATACAACTTTAATGTCAAAAATGAAGGAATTGAGATGGTTAAAGAATTGTTATACTGTGGTTCAGTTATCAATCCAAATGGAGATTGCAGCCAAGAAATCAGAAGCCTCAGAAGTGCAGCAATGAAGGAAATAGAAAAGATAAGGATGTGTCATTGGAGACTAAGGCTAAGGTCGTATTCCATTACTGTGTACTGATGTGAGAGGTGAACAGTGAAGAAAATAAACAAACAAAATTGTTTATTTCAAAACATGGTGCTGGAGATTGTGATTACCCTGGATTGCTGGAAAGACAAACAAGTGGTTGCTAGATAAGATCCGGTGTGTATTCTTCCTAGAAGCAAAAATGACATAACTGAAGCTGTCATGCTTTGAGCAAATCCTGAAATGATGACACACTGGAAAAGACAACAATGCTAGAAGAAGTTGCAGGGAGCAGGAAAAGGGGAAGACTAAAAATGAGATGGATTGACTCCATAAAAGTAGCCAGATGAGTGCAAGTGCTGAGCAGGGCTAATAATATGATTTTTTGGAGGTCACTTATGCCTGATATCACCATATGTTGGAGGTGACTTTGAGAGCATTTAACAACACAAGGCTTTTCTCCTCCTGCCTTATCCTCTTAGACCAGTGGTCCCCAACCTTGGGCCTCCAGATGTTCTTGGACTTCAACTCCCAGAAATCCTGGCCAGCAGAGGTGGTGGTGAAGGCTTCTGGGAGTTGTAGTCCAAGAACATCTGGAGGCCCAACGTTGGGGACCACTGTCTTAGACTATACAGTGGTGCCCCACATAACAATTATAATCCGTTCCGTGAAAATTACTGTTTAGCAAAATCATTGTCAGGCAAAATCAGTTTCCCCATTGGAATGCATTGAAACCCGTTTAATGCGTTCCAATGGGGAAAATACCTCGTCGTCCATCGAAGATCGCCCATAGGGAAACCATTTTGTGAGCGCCAATCAGCTGTAAAAATGGCTACCCTGCAAAGCATGGGTCCGGAAAACACAGGGCAGCCATTTTGTGGAGCCAGAAAAATCGTCTTGCGAACAAACTGTTCACGAAGAACGGACCTCATCGATGTCCAGCAAAAATCCCCCATTGGAATTACTGTTTTGAGAAATCGCTATAGCGATCGCAAAAAGTCATTGTAATGCGGATTCGTTATTCAGCGGGGTCGTCTTGCGAGGTACTACTGTACATTCTGCAATACATTAAGGTATCCTAAAATACCTTGCTCCATCCTCTTGCTTTTAAAATCAAATCAGTCACTGTTAATGATCCCTGCAGGGCTCTGTCAGGGCTGTGCATGGGCAACTGGCAGCTGGTTTGTTCACTTCCCATTTCGGATAAAGCCCCACCCCTCTGCATGTGCATGGGGTGAGGTTCCTGCATAGTGGGAATGTTGACCACTGTAGACTTGTGCAAGGATATCTCTCCCACTTTTGCTCCTGCCTGCTTTACAGTAAGATTATGTGAACTGGTGGTTCTAACTATTTCTTTTATGCCTTACCAATCACTTTGTCAAAGAACCTGAATCATACTGTGAGAGAAAGAAAAAGTAAATCCCCACTTCCCCAAATAGAACATGTCTATGTTTAGAGGTATTCTATCATTACAGTTGCCACTTAGGAGAAGAGTGGTGGGAGGGGGTAGTGCAAAATTAGGCACTAAGTGTTTAGAAAAATTAGCATGCCAAGATCACAGATGAACAATCCATAGCAGCTCAGGCAACAGAATGTGGCACATCATAAGGTGAACTCTAAAGGGCCAGGAAAATCCTACATCTCACCTAGACTACTTCAGTGTCCTACTAAGGATACACATACCACTGGTTGAGAACCACTGCTTTAGATATCTTGCTATTCTGCCTATCTGTGAGCCTGGTTAGATAATTCTGATGCTTTCTAAACCCATTATATCTGATTTTCAATTTATTATATATCTTTTGTTTGTTATGTATTACCTAAGATAGTCAAAATGGCAGGGGTAAAGTGTTTTAGAACTGTTTCTGGAGAAGAGTCATTTCAGAACAGCAATTAAATTGCTCTTGGACTTTGTGTGGGAAACATACTTTCAAACTACATTAAAGAACTTCATTTTTATTTATGTGGCAGATTGAAAAATTGCATTATGTTCCATTGGGTTAGTTCAAATTTCCCTCTTGTGTCCTCACAAAACCAAGTATTTACTCTGCATGTGTTTTCTTTTTCCTAGTTAAGAACAGCATTGGACAGAATAGAAGAGATGGAGATGACCAATAGCCACTTAGTAAAACGGCTGGAGAAAATGAAGGCAAACAGAACGGCACTTCTCTCTCAGCAGTAGAAAGGAAACTAAAAACTGTGCACTGCTCTTTGACATAACTTGCTCCCACCTTGTTTTAATACAGATTTCATTTGGTACAGACTTTGAACATGAACTGTTCCATGAGTTTTAGTACCATAATACAGTGGCAAATATTTTGCAATTTGAACAAATGAAAAAAAAAACAGCTTGAACTTTTATGTGGATGGTGAGTTTTAGCAGCTTAATTGTAGTCTGCTGAAGCCCAGTGCTGTAATGATTGACTTAATCTTATAAACTATTTTCACAATTGTGAAATCAGGTTTGTTCACCAAACTATTTTCAGCTGCTTTAATAATGCTTGGTGCTTGGAGATAACTGCATGAGTTCCAGAAGATGCTGCATTACAAACTAACCAAGACTTCACATGGCACAAGTGCCTTCTATATAGTGCAGTGTAGACTTCAATGATTAGATTAAAATAACCTTTGGAAATCGGATAACATTTATTTTAAGATACATCTGGGATTCTTGTTTGATAAACTTTATACATTTTGATGGAAACACTTTTGTAAAATATTTAAATTTATATAAAATAAAAATGACTGTATAAAATTTGCTTTATTGCATGGATGACACACACCTGAGTTTTAGACTTTCAGGTGTACTATCCCCAACTACTCTTAGTGAAAGAGTAGTCAGTAGAAGATGTTTTGTTGTACACTGTAAAATCTGGCATGTCGGCTTTGTAAGTGTGGAATGAAATGGGGTGTGTGGAAAAACTATGGCAGAAAAATCTATTAAATGAACACTTTATTTAGTACAGACTTTGTCTGTTGTTTAATGTTTCCTCTCTTGTCCTTTGTGCATTTAATTATAAACAAGAAATGGTTCCACATTTTCATAGCTATTTGGGGAAGTTATGGTCCTCTGTGTGACTCCGAAGAACATGATATATATAAACAAACTACAATTTGCATTAACTTTGTTACTGTGATGGATAGTGGTGAATAGCTGATCTTTCCCCACAGAAGATACAGAAAATGAAGAATATTTAAGTAGCAGTTGTAGGTTTATAGTTTGCTAATATTCTAGAACATAGGTTCCTGAACTTTTTCCCCCGTAGACCACTTGCCGACTTGTTTTCCATAGACCCCCTGGCCTACCTAATATTGCATTTTCCTAAACCTATTAACTTCAAACGTGTTTTAAGGGTTCTTTTGAAAGAATACACAAGTGTAGAAAAAAAGTAGAATTTTTAGTCTAACCTTTATTGAAAAAAACACAAAATGCAAATAAATATTTGTCTTTGGAATGAAAAAATCAGAACTTAGTAATTTAGGATTGCCTAAATATTTATTATGATCTGCCTAACGGGATCTGTTCACATAGACACCCCCCCCATTTACATCTTGTACACCTCTAATTTTTTCTCTCTCTGATGTGGACCCTGCAAGTCGAAATCATATGGGGGTCCATATAGACTACTTTGGGAACCTTTGTCCTAGAAGCATACAGAGTGTGGTGTACTGGACAGAATGAGGGACTAGTGCTCAGGAGGCATGGGTTCAAATTCCTATTCAGCCATGAAAACTCACTGGGAGTGTGGAACTAGTAAAGCCACTCCTTAAATATTAATAATCAAACAAGAACAGCAGTAAAGATAAAAAGGAAAAGTAAGAAAAAAATCAAGAGTTGGCTGGAGGGAAGGCCTGAATAAACAGCCATGTTTTTAATTGGGTTTTAAAGGTGCCCAGCGTGGGGGCCGCGCGAATCACCGGAGGGAGATTGTTCCAGAGGCGAGGAGCCACCGCCGAGAAGGCCCGGTTTCGTGTCTTCTCCTTCCTTTACCTTTAAAACCCTATTAGGGCCACTATAAGTCAGTTCCAGCTTGATGACACATAAACAATATCCTAGAGCTATATCTTAGGTCTCCAAACTATGGCCCACTGCAGGTGCACATGCATGCGTACGGGAGTGCGTACACGCACATCCTCTTTTGCCCTTAATAATATGGAGCATATACTGTATATGTCCCTCCCACTGAACAGTTTGGAGACCTGTGTCCTACAGCAATGAAGAGTTCCTATAAGACATACAGTGGTGCCTCGCTTAACGAGCGCACCGTATAACGACGAAATCGCATAGCGATTAGGTTTTAGCGATCGCATACCAATGGCCCCTATGGCCGAAAATCGCTTTGCGATGATCGGTAAGCGTTTTGCTTACTGATCTTCGCAAAGTGATGCCGCGGATCAGCTGTTCGGCGGCTTCAAAATGGCCGCCGGAAGCCCCAAAATGGCCGCGCGCAGCGTTTTCGCGCCCTGCCCTCACTTACTGAGGGCGTGAAAATGGCTGCCGGACCCGGGAAACATCGCAGAACTGTGAGTTTTGGAGCCTATTGGAACCCATTAAACTAAGTTTAATGCATTCTAATGGGCTTTTCCGTCCCGTTCAGTGATATTTCACCATAGCGAAGGTTAATCCGGAATGGATAAACCTCGCTATGTGAGGCACCACTGTACTTGCCTTTTATTTAGCTCCCATGTATGCTCTTGTTTAAAGATGTTCACATTTTTCAAAATTATATGATAGGAGCCCCATTCAAGTATGGTGATAACTCGTTTCCAGCCTCCATTTTGAAAGTGTTCCATCTCTCATTCTAGTCATCCCCTTTTGTTGGATTTAGTATTTTTGATCTGCTGCTTTTGTCCAATAAACCACTTCAAATACAATCAAGTTCCCTTACATGTTATTTATGAGACATTACTCCATTTTATTAAGTATTTTTCTACTGAACTTTAAACCAAGTTCAATGTGGTTTTCATTTAAACAAATGGAAATGCAGCAGTCTGATATTCTCGCTTACTTCATTATAGCATGTTATTCCAGAATTGCGTAAGCCTCTTGTCAAGCTGAACAACAAATATACTTATTATCATCTTACTTGATGTACAGCCACACTGTGTCTGAAACTCAGGTTTCGGCGCTGCATTAAGCTTTTCAGTACCAACACTAGGAAGCAAGCTATTAAAAAACAATTATGGATCTCAATATCTGTGTTCAACACCTCTCAAAGACTTTGTACAAATCCGGTAGATTAGCAATCTGCAAAATATTGCCATCTTCTGTGAAGTTCTTGGGAGGCAAAAGATGTGTCCTAAAGGCCTTGTAAAGTACATGTTCCACTGTCCATTTCCAAGATCTTGTACCTGCACCAGAATCTTCAGCCTGCAATGATATTTAAATATTTTAAAAACCAACTCATTTTTAAATGTGTTGCAGGAGAGCCATACAAATGTGAGAAACAGCCAGAAAAGTGCTCAATCAAGTAAAGCCTGACCTCTCACTAGAGCAGAAAAAATATACTGAGCCTATCCTGCTATGCACATATGATGAAAATACAAACAGACCAGAAAAAAACAATATTGCTGGGAAAAGCTTGGGGGGGAGGCGGCAGTAGGAAGAGAGGAAGACCCACAGCTGTTAGTTTATAAGTCCTGAGTAGAACCTTACTTGAAAATAGATATTTATTTATTTATTTACAATATTTTTACCCCCCTTTCTTTCCAAAAAGGACCCAAGGTGGGGACCCAATGAGTAGGCAACCATGGCTAAGAACATCAAAAGACAGTATTTAAAGCTAAGAACAATGAGTATAAAGAGGCATCTTACGTCATTATATAATAAAGCTAGGAACAATATTTATACAAATATTAAAAAGAAAAAAACTCACTGAGAAATGCAAAACCCAAATATGGAAAACACAGTAACAATCCCTCTAAAAATCACACAGAGATAGCTAGTTACTGAGGGAAGGCTTGCCTGAGGAGAAAGGTCTTTGCCTGGTTGCGGAAGGACAGCAAAGATTGGACCAGTCTAGCTTCCTGTGGGAGGGGGTTCCAAAGTCTGGGAGAAGCAACAGAGAAGGCTCTCATGTCCCCATCAGACATACCTGTGAAGGTGGTGGGCTGGCTCATAATGGGAGATACAGTCTTTGAAACAGCTTGGACCCAGGCCATTTAGGGCTTTATAGGCTAAAACCAGCACTTTGAATTGTGCCTGGAAACTGTGGAGCTGCTGTAACCAGGAGGGTTATGTGATTCCTGCTGCATTTTGGACCCCCTGAAAGTTCCCTGACCCTTTCCATTGGCAGCTCCACCTATTCCATATTGCTTGGGGGCGGTTGTAGTAAGAAAATGACCTAACATGAGTTGCTGTTGGTTTACAAGATCTAGAGATAGGCATGAAACCTCCTGGTTCGTTTATCACCGTAAAGTGTCTGGTGGTTCAGTGCCCTGCTCCCTCCGGGTTTACAAGATCTGAGCAGAACTGTTAATTAGAGATAGGCATGAAATCTCCCGGTTGGTTTATCACCGTAACAAGTGTCTGGTGATTCAGTGCCCTGCTCCCTCCAGTGGGCACCCATTGGGGGCAGCATCCCAGCTTCTCTGCCCCACCTCCTCTGACCACTGCCTCTTCAGCAGGTGCTCGCTGGCGGGGTGGGGCCACTGAATTGCCGAACACATGTTATGGAAGTAAATGAACTGGGCCAAACGGATGGTTTGTGCTCATCTCTATTGTTAATGATAGTACATTTTGGTGGTCATTAACTCATATAGTCACCACAGAAGTGACTTGACACTTAACAATTTTGGAGGGTTTTTTAAATTACCAAGCAACTATATAGTGACAAGATGGGTGGAATAGGCACCAGAGCCGAACACATGTTATGGAAGTAAATGAACTGGGCCAAACGGATGGTTTGTGCTCATCTCTATTGTTAATGATAGTACATTTTGGTGGTCATTAACTCATATAGTCACCACAGAAGTGACTTGACACTTAACAATTTTGGAGGGTTTTTTAAATTACCAAGCAACTATATAGTGACAAGATGGGTGGAATAGGCACCAGAGCTCTGCTAAATTACCAAGCAACTATATAGTGACAAGATGAGTGGAATAGACACCAGAACTCTGCTAACATCAAGAAAAATCATCCCCAGGCACAAGCAAAAAATAGTAATTTCACAGCTTAAATGAGTGAGCTTCTAAACATTTTTTTCTATTATTTTTAAACATCTTTTAAAATATGTTTATAACCAGAATCAGAATTTCTTTTAAATACATGTCTGGCCCGGAAGAAGTTAAAACGTTCTCCTAAAAGTCAGTTATTGGCAAGTCAAAAAAAGTTCAGATTGTGGGAAGAGTTCATGCCAGCTGCAACAATGTATCTAATTTAGAATGTTAGTTTGGATTTCATAGTCTCCATTTTTCCACTATTAAAAGCTTTTTAAAAAAAGGTTCAGTATTTTACAACTCCCTGCCTGGATTCATTCCAATTTTATTTTTAAAAAGCAGCTGGGTCTAACCATTCACCTTCAAGATAAGCAAGTTTGGTCTTTTGAATGTCTCAGATGTGTTTTAAATCTGCAGACAAAAAAGGTCACCTGTCTCTGCAAAGGGTGGTGGTGAGACAGTTTTACTTTTAAAAAACTCAAAACTAGAAAACCACTTGCCCAAATTTAGCACAGAACAAGAGCAGACTGTTACATCTGTGCCAAATTTGATGCTGATCTAAAGTTTGGTTTCAAAGTTACAATTTTTTGTTTAGGGTGCCCATTTTAGAACTGCCTTTTGGAATGCTGATTTGCTCTGCTGCACATATCTAGTGCTGCACTCCTGTGCAGTAATATCATGAACCACCAACAAGTTATAAAATTCCAGTATTCAAGGGAAGGCTGAGTGGCTTTTAAGCTATATATGAACCTGCGAAAGAGACTTGGTGCATTTTGTGAGACAGATCACTGAATTCCCTTTCCTTAAGATACTAATTATGGCTCATTTTAAGTGAATGAACAAACCACAAGCATTCTTCCCTCCAGTCTTATTTTCTGACTACAGCCTTCCAAGTGGAACTTCAATACCACGAATTAAAAGCAGTATTTTGTATTTTACTATCAGTAAAATATAATAATTGAGGACCATACCTGCTGTGCAGTAAGATCAGAGTCTTCCATAATATACTGTTTTCTAATGGAATAGAACATGGCACATTCTTTACTAAGACTTTTAAAACATTCTTTTTCTTCATCCCAGTTTACCTGGCAAAGAAAATGATTTTAATACGCAATCCTGTACTTTTAGTATAAATAATCAGTTTGAGGAGCTGATTTGGTTCTTTTAAAATTTGTTCCAGTTGAATTTTTTTTGTATCAGGTACAATCTGCCAGTTTTAGGATACTGAACTGTACTGCTTTCAGAGGAAGGTTCAAACTAAAATATCAAACTAAACTTCATTCCAATTTGGAGATGAAAATCACTTAACACATTTTTCTAGCAAATGATTACTTTGTTAATTTCTCAGACCTAGTTTGTTTTAAGACACATACACAAAAATAACCTGTGAAGGACACATAACTCTGATTAGTCAGTCTCAAAGCCTTATTTTAAGCATTTACCAATGTAACAAAGTCTCTTGTAAAGTGACTGGACTGATTGCAGTTAGTTGTCTGAAATAGCAATCCTCCCACAGCACAAGCCTATTATTGCGAAACCTGTTTCAACCTTATGCAGATGTCCAATGCAGTATTTTCCAGTCCAGTGGTGCCCAGTTTCAGCACCACGTTAGAAGAGGAAAAGGATTCTACTCAAATGCCAGTTCTACACATGAACAAGAACCCCGGGGCGATCTGAGTTCTTGCTCAACATACAAAGGACCAGGACTCTTCTCTTCAGACCCAGTGCTAAAATTGGGAAGAATGTGATTGGGAAAGGGATGGAATAAGTGCTCCTCTCTAAGTGTCTTCACAGTGCTGGGTTGAGTTACGCCTGAATAGGTGTCTAGCATACCACTACAGTGGTGGCGCTGCCGGTTAAACCACAAAGCCTCTGGGATGCAAGGTCGAAAGATCAGCAGTTCAAATCCACGTGACAGTGTGAGCTCCTGTTGCTTGTCCCAGCTCCTGCCAACCCAGCAGTTCGAAAGCATGTAAAAATGCAAGTACAGTGGTGCCTCACTTAACGATGTTAATTGGTTCCAAAAAAACATTGCTATGGGAAAACATCGTTAAGCGAAACACCATTTCCCATAGGAATGCATTGAAAACCGGTTAATCCGTTCCAATGGGAACGGATTACCGTCCTTAAGTGAAAATCGCCATAGGAAACATCGCTAACTGAAACAATGTTTCCCCCAATGAAAAGCCATTCAAAAGCATTGGCGCCGACTCCAATGCTTTTGAATGGCTTTCCGAAGTCCGTTTTCGCTAATTTTTAAGCGTCTTAAAATGTTTGAAACCTGTTTTAAATGCTTGGAATCGGTAGTCCACCTTGTGAAACATGTGCAAACTTATTTTGGCTTTGTTCTGAGTCTTCGTTAATTTTTGGTGATTTTTTGTTTTCCCCATTTAAATCCATTGAACAGGTTTCAAACATTTTAAGACACTTAAAAATGAGCGAAAACGGACTTCGGAAAGTGAAAATCCCCCATAGAGAACATCGTTAAACGATGTGGAAAATTCCTCCAAGAAACACATCATTAAGTGAATTCTTCATTAAACGAAGCAATCGCTAAGCAAGGCACCACTGTAGATAAATAGGTACCACCACAGTGGGAAGGTAACAGTGTTCCGTGTCTGGCCAGATGATCACGGAAACTGTCTACGGACAAACACTGGATCTACAGCTTGGAAATGGGGATGAGCACCGCCCCCTAGAGTCAGACACGACCGGACAAATTGTCAAGGGGAACATTTACCTTTACCTTATACCACTTAACAGAACTCAATAATACAGAAAACTCATGGTAGATTCTACAGTGATAAAATTAGAAATAAAGTTTCACCGTAGGAGTTCCACCCAGTCCACAATGTATAAAAAGACTAGAGCAATCTGATGTAGAACCCCAACTCCCATCAACTTCGTTACATTGTAGAAAACTTGCACTAAATTCCTGGTAGGTATGTTTTCGTTTGCAGTATGATGGCCATATTCTACAGAGTAAGTGTTTATAAATGTTACCGAATTGGGTAAAAAGCTCAGCAACCAGGGGAAGCAGTTTTCAGCAGTTGGTGGAGAATTTCTTTAATGGAAAATACCGTATTTTTCGCACCATAAGACTCACTTTTTTCCCACAAAACAGAAGGGGTGGAAAGTCTGTGCGTCTTATGGAGCGAAGAAAACAGATTATATTTTCCTGTTTTCTTCTCCTAAAAATTGGTGCGTCTTATGGAAAGGTGCATCTTATGGAGCGAAAAATACGGTAGTTAATCAGAACATTTTCAAAATGTATCTGAAGGTAAAACTTTCAAATATTTTTTCTAATGGATTCTTGTTTGCTTAGTTTGCATTAACAAAAATCTAAAGAGGGTTAGGCACTTTTGTAAGGATCCTTTAGGAAGACTACACCTCACTCCACACGTTTCCATTTTGGAGGAATAACAGAGAAATCACATGGAGTTCTGGGCTCTGCTGGCTGCAAAGCAAGAGAGAGAAGCAGCCTGAGGAGAAAAGGAGTCAGTAATGTTTTCTGTTCATATGGGTAACCAGTGGTATTGTGGACCTACTGGCCCTGTGCAGAAGAGATTTGGGGGATGAGGACCAAACTCAACTTCCTAAAGATATCAACTTTTGCTTACAAAATGAGTTTGTGGCTGGAAAGACATACTTGAAAGTTAGGCGGGCAATTCCTAATGTCTCAGAAGCTAGACAGGTAGTTGGTTAGAAGAAGGCATTCAAAGCTCTACATAACCTCTACCCTCCTCAATACAGATAGAAAAAAATAAACTGTAAGTTTGTGCACAAGACTGGCTCATATTTACTGTTTGCAAAAATACAGCTTTAGAAAACACAATTCATGCAAATGTCAACATACCTCAGTGGCCAAACGAAGGACAAACATAGGTACACCTTCTAGTGGAGGAACATAATTATCTATCAAAAGTGGTAATCCTGTAAGATTTCCTTCCTGTAAATAGAGTTTTCACATCATTTTGACATTTATTCTGCCACTTACATATAAATCAGAAGTAATGGATTAATAAAAAGCAGGTAACTCAACATATCTGCAAAACCAAAATACTGTCTGCTGGTGATAGTCTTCATATTTCCTGCTCTTTAAAACTAACATAGTAATTGTACTTTTTTTTTGGCCAAAATAAAAATAAATTTCTGAACAATATAATCATTTTTAAAGAACCAGCTGAATCAAAATGCAAAACTAATATACTACAAATTATTTAATAATAAGAAACATTTTATTATTCTGGAACCATTTAGTTGGATCTAATGAAAATACTACAGTTCTGGGATCCTGTTCCCTGCCCTCCAAAAAATATCAAAATTATCTATAATTTTTATGTTTGTGCCAAATACCTCTGATTATCTGCCTGCTAAGTAGTTTCTCCTTAGAAATTTACAATTTGTTAATTAATTGTAGAATCTTACTTTAGTCTGTATTTCTGCAGAATATCCTTATTCTTGTCCTTCCACAATGCATAATGAAAAGTTCACTGTACAGCATATAATGAACTGGATAGTTACCCCATCAATTTCAAGGGAGAAATAGTCTTTCAGCATTTCACTCTTCTTTGTTAGAAAGTCAACAATATATTCAGCAAGGCCTTCCTTTGGACCATCTTCTTCTGTCCAGCCACTTTCAGCATTCTCCAAGGCTAGCATGGCTAAATCATAGAGAGGAGCTGGTTCCTAGATTTACCAAGTAAAATTTAAAAAATATTATTATTACTAATTGGCTGAAATCTTATTCACAACTCTGCCAGATGTAAATGGTGAAGACAACATCACCTGGTAACATTAAAGGTTACTTACCTGTAACCATGGTTCTT